TAAATGAATAACCTGCAACTTTTTTTTTTCCCTAAAGGGTGCTCTCTTTAGGTATGTGAAATTCATAGAACTGATTCTTTGGAAATAGGCAACTGGTATGGGATTGGGTGTCTAGTACTGATAAAGAAATTTAGACGAAAGTGAAATTGAGTTTAAACTGAGGTTAAATTTCCATTCCAATTGTCTCCCATGTAAATAAGCTCAACATTTTGTAAAATGACTGGAAAGGAAAAAAAAGAATCAAAAGTCTGCAGTGATGGAAATTTATTTCTCTGCACTAGGCTGATTGACGTAATGTGGTCGTTGTCTTCACTACCATTGTGCGTTCACCAGCGATATGAGTGGACTTGACTACAAATCGCTGCTCTTTGCCCACTCAGATCGAAATCCATCATCACGCTGTTTAGTAAGAAGATTCCCAGGCTCTCCACACCCTTCCTGTGCACACCCTCTTCCATCCACCCTCCTAACCAACCCACAGCACTCCTGTCAATGCCCAAACCTAGTTTGTAAGAACTGGACCTTCATCTGTGGTGTTAGTGCCCTGCGAGAGAGGCATTTCTTTCTCCTTTCTCTACTTTCTTTTTGTCTGGAAATGACATTGACCCATCGAGTGACATTGGCAAGAATGGCCAAGGAGCAGGCCAGACACTAAGGGTCAATGTTCTCAAATTCTGGATTTTCAAGAAGTCAGGAGGATCTTTCTAGACAAGAGGTGTAATAAGGAGATAAAAGATGGAAATAGCATCCTCCCCACCCCCAAACAAAATGAGTCAAAGCCTATAAATATCTAGATTCAAAATTAATTTAATTAATCTTGAAAATATTCTCCTACTACCTCCACCCTCCCACTTTACCTCTAGCTAAATTTTTCTCTCATATTCTGCATCTGTCTGACCTCCCTTTCTGAAACCTTTCTCCTTCTTTACTAGTATTACCTATAGTTTTATTATTTTTTAAAATGTATTATGTATTTAGTGTCTGATAAGAAATAAAGCACAGAGACAGTCCCATGGCCTTAAGGGAGCAGAATCCCATATAGCCAACTGTGGTTCAAATCCCAGCCCCAGTGGCTTTGAAAGACATGCTGGGCATATGTGAGTGTGTGCCCCAATCCTGACAGGATAGAGGAATAGAGGAAAGGGGATTGTGGCGTGACCACAACCTATTAGGTGGGTACTTGTTTTCTCCCTCTTCCTCTTTCTGCATTTCTCTGGCAACACACATGCTCTGACAATTTTTTAAAAGTAAATAAAAATTAGGGGAGAAAAAAGAAATCAAGTACTGGAATAAAAGTGGCGTAAGGCAGCCGCTGCTTTTGTGTAGGTTCCAAGGGCGGTGGTCCCACTGATCTGTTATCGGCATCATGACCCCGACACATTGAATTAGTACTTGAAAACTGCCAAGGAAAAGTTGCAAAAGTGTACAGTTTCAATGGAGATAACATTTTGTAGCAAGAGTGACAGAAGAGAATGCCAGAGAGGAGATAGGATTTGCATAGACTAGCCTTACAGGCCTTGAGAAAGTAGAGCCGAACTGGGTGTTGAAACCACCTCGTCCTTATTCTTTTGTAATCAATCATTTAAAAAGAGAAAAAAAAAAAAGATGCTGGCCCAGCTCCAAGCCTATTGGTGGACCATTGAGGCTCTTACAAGAGAATTAGAATGTGTACCAAAGGCAATGACAAGATATCAGACTCTCTCCCCACCACCACTTTTATTTTTTTTAAGCTGTGAAGTTAAAAACAAACAAAGAAACAAATAAAAAACAGGTTAAGACTTCAGAATGAATTGGAAACGATTACAATATTAGAGGTGACAAATAGTAACATCATGAATTAAAATGATGGCGATGAAAGTGTAAAAGGAGTGAAAGATTTTAGAGTTTATTTTAAAAAAGCAAAAATGTAGGACTTGGGGAGTTTGTCAATGTTTGAATCTAGGAAAGGAGGTATGTCTCATGCTTGTGAGGACGAAGTCTAGAGAGAAAGGTTAGCAACACAGCAGATAATGATAGGAGCTTAGCGCGCCGGAAACAGGAATACAACTGGCTAGACTGAGCCCATGGAAACCCAGTATTTAAAAAGTAGACAAATATGGAAAGCCAGTAGATGGTAGACAGAAAAATAGATACAGAGTAACTAATATATGTTACCGACATATTTAACTGGTGTACTTGTATATCTATATGTAGCTGTATGAATACCTATACAGATACATATGTATTTATAGCTAAATGAACAATGCAGAAACATCTGCATTTCCACCCAGTTAATGATCGCAGGTAAAAGAGTGTCAGCAAGAATAAAGAACACAGCTCAAGCTAACTACCTTGTCCCTGTGTTTAGTTACAGAGCAAGAGAGGAGAGGGAAAAAGAAAGACCCCTTGTGTCCCTTTTATCTTTCTAATAACAAAATGCTCTTCAAATTCTCACAGTGATAAGAGTTCAAGGCAGATTTTTAGTAGAAAAATATTGTTCAAAAATTCAATAAGTAATCATAGTCACATCCCCAAGTCTCTAAACTGCAGAATATTTGGTACTTAACTAGAATTGCTTATCAGAGTCAATGAATACTTTTCATAGAACATCTGCAGTACATGTTTGTAACATTAGATTTCTGCTTTAAATGCAGGTGGAAAAGAGAAAAATTATGCTCAGGAAATGAGTCTTAAGCTATGACTCATAACATAACTCATAAGACATCTCATGAAGCAAAACTTAAACACTTTGCTGTTAAGCTATGGAGTGATATATTTGCCTAGCATTAGACTTTTATTAAGCCAGAAAACTCATCCCTAATCTGCATTCTCAAAAACCATCCTTGTCTCCCAGAATTCTTTTACCATTTTGAACAGTTTGGGTGTTTAGCTGTTGTAGCGAAGAGGCACAGAGCAAAGAGATTAGGAAACTCTGTGTGAAACTGAACACAGCGTTGTCGCTGCCTCGGCATAATGCAACCTTGGCCTTGTCCACGGGTGCATTTTAGAGACTAAACACAAGGTCTGAATTGTGCACCTATTCACCCACTGGTGTGGCCCTGCATTTGGCCCTATATCCTGATAGGGTCACAGTATGCGTTTGGCTGCCCCAAAGTTTCATATTTTCTGTTGATACTAAACGAATTTTAACACACTACAATCAAACAGAATCCAACTCACTGATTGCTAATAAAGAAAAGTTGTATCATTTAAAGTATTAATATCTTCCAATATTATGCACTGAGCCACAAAGTGCCCCTCGGAATGTAAATGTGTGATAAACATTTGCAGAAACAAACAATTATGTCTGTATATGTTTTTCCAAAACTGAGTGGGTATTTCAGAAAGACTACCCATGCCTTTAAGAAAAAGTTTCCTCTCAATATTTAAGTGAGCAATTCAGGATAAATGTTATCTTTCAAAATAAATCTTTGCATCTATTGCTTTGTAGCATAAAGTATTCAGTGAAGCTGATTTAAAGGCTTCTAGATCCTGTTATTCTCTTATTTTGATTATGAATTTCAAGATGTTTCTTGATTAAAAAAAATCTTTAATAGACCAAGTTAAAACTTGTGTGGTTTGCTAATGGCAAAACATGTCAATGTTTCTTTTTGTTCACTTGAAATGCTTTCTAACATTCCCTGAGTGGGACTTTTGATTTATGATAATACACATATATGACCTTATTAAAATGATTACTTTTTATCATTTACTTTTGATTGTGATAACCAACTTTATAGGAATGGCAACTTGACTTTTTTGGACTAAGACAAAATGCTGTACCTATCTAAATTTTTTTTAAAAATCTGTCTTTGCAGTAAAAGATAGAGCAAGCCAAATGAAAACACAACAAAACATCTATTTTACACTGTTTCTTTTCCACTCTCCTAGTGTATGCAAAATATAAATTGCCAATGTAACTTGCCCAGGAGAGGAGCTACCACCATGTCTTTCAGAGGAAAACAAAGCAATAAAAAATTTTAAAAAATAAATTAAGTGAATTCTAAAAAGCAAGATTTTTTAAAATTTTGTTTTACTTTTTAAAATGTCTACAGAAATTCAATTTCAACACCTTTTTAGTAATAAAAAGAACGTTTAGACACTAGATCATAAAGAGGAATATTACTCATCAATGTGTTAGTTATATTTAATAATCAGCCAAAATGTACTCATGATTCAGCTGAGACAGTTTAAGAAATACTCATTGAATAGATCGTTAAGTGTACAAAGATCTCAAACTTAAGTACCCAAAGTCCAATTAATTACATTTTCCTATAGGAGAGAGCATTTGCATGGTTCTTAAGAGTTAAAATATTTCTCTCTCATCAAGGTTGAGATATTTACCCACCACCCAGGAAGGGCGGTGCCCTACCAGAATTTCCAAAGCAAAAATTCAATAAAATATTAGCAAAGATTTAAAAACTTGCTTTAAAATGCATCCTAATATTTAAAATATGCAAGGTTAATATTCCACCAAATGTCTTAGCATTCTGTGAGCTATCATATGCCTAAATATTCAATAAAATATTTTTAATAGTAATTACAATTTGAGGAAATAAATGACTAGTCTGAAAGAGAGTGACTGATGTGCGACCGAAACCATTTTAGGACTTATTCAACCAAAAAGTACCTTTTTTATTAAAAGGATAAGGGCTCACTTATCTTGTCATTAAACAAAATCCCTGAGACTTTCATAAAGGCGTGTTCTTGTCACTTTGGGAGTTGGGTAACGATGTTGCTTTTGTAATATCCTTGAACAGTTTGTTAATAAAGATACAGATAGACAAAGTTTTCTTTTTATATTGTGACTTTTTTCCATGGACATTTTTGCCTTTTTAAACAGAAACAATGCATTTGGTCACATAGCAAGCCGCGTCTCCCCCAGCTGCCACAACCTTGACTGTGTCATGGTGTTCTTACTGCTGTCGCCAACACATTTATTTTTAAGTCTATTTCACACCCATGTTCCTCCAGAAGGAAAAAATAAATGAAGAAGAAAATATGAAGACCTTGGTGCTTACCCGTAACGAACACTTCTGGGTCCAGAAAGACAAAGCCGAATGCCAAAAGTTTAAGCCACAAATACATGGTCATATCTGGGAATCAGTCGAATCCCTGGGAAATAGCATGCGTCCTTCTGAAAGGCAAAACAATGGTTACCTCTGTAGAAGTTGTTCTCTGTCAAAACCAAAGAAAAAATAAAGACACGATGCATACTCTTCACTGTTGTCTAATCAGTCGGGGAGCAATTTCCTCCTCTGTTACCCTGAGAACAGACCACTCACTAGCTACATGAAGGGCTAGCGGTGATGTCAGATTCGGTCTTACTAACTTCTCCAAAAATACTGTAAAGGGTCCTCTTTGCAGGAAGTCAGAAAAGTTGTTCATCTTACTTCCTTAATTCAAGTTAGTACACGAAGCTAGTAGGCTTTTCAAAAGCTTTTCTCCTCAAGGAAGGAGTTTTTAAACTATCTAAATAATACTCCTTTATAATAGCCATTACAACTTTAAAAAAAAAAAAATCTGATCCTCCCAAAATAACTAACAATGCTCTTACCTAAGCAATTATAGAACAGACTCAGCATAACAAAAAGGTGTTGGTGAGATAATACAGTAACTGAATTACCAGAAAGTAACTGTATTTGATTTATTAAGATGACCAAGTGAATGAATAAGCTACCAACCTGGTTATTTTTGGCAACAAGTTTCATGTACCATTAGGGTGTTCAAAACTCAGTAATATGGCAGTTGTAGCAGTAAAACCAATTTCCTATGCAAAAGCGCTCTCAGAGAGCTGAACAGTTTTGCCCCAAATCTTTCATAGAGATCCTGGTGAGGCTAGGATGGACTTGGAATGTCATTTCAACTATAGCAAATCCTGCTTCAAAATACAAATGCTTCTGCAACTGAGGATATTCTTAGTGCTGTTTGTGAGGGGAGGAAAAGCAAAGAAAACCCAGAAGCATCTTTTAGAAAAGCTCATCTTTTTTCTTTTTCTCAGCAATACTTTCTCATATGTTTTGATAAATAAGGCAACAAATTGAGGTACCATGTTTTTGATTCTGATAGTATTCTCCCTAAGTCTGTCAACTAGGAAAATGCTTCCAGGTAAAAGGCTACTATTAATTTAGCAATACAATAAAAGAATCGGCTTTATCTGTATGCATTTAAAAATAAAAATACATACCCAGGTAGCTCATTTTTTTATTTGAACTTCAGATAACACTTGAGGGATTCAAACAGACAGAGCCTTTGCAGTAGTGCAAACTTCAGTTAGGAAGTGTTAGAGTAAGGTCCTTGTATTTTAGTAAGTATGTCTTTACATATTTACTAACTTATTTGTTTTACAAGTACATTGGGTGCTAGGTCCAACAGAGCCAAATTTGCGTTCTCTTTTGTACAAATGGAAATAACCCTGCAGCTTAAGTTCTGGGGAATAACATTTTAATAAGAATGTAGTTTGATTATTTTATTATGATTATTATCTTAGCACACTTACAGGCTTTTAGCAGGTACAAGAAATATGCTGAAAACTATACAGGCACTAACTATTTTGGACAACATCCTTGAGCTACAGGTAACATTAGTCTCTACCGTATGTGTGATGTTCAGAGAGCAGGCGATTTGTCAAACGTCTGACAGGTGGGAAATGGACACGTTTGGTCCCGGACTCGACTCCAAGTTTCACCTCACTTTTCTGTTACATACTTTGTTGTCCTTCCTTTTCTTTTTTGAACCTCTTTCCCCCACTCTTCTCAGTACAGTTTTGTTTTGTTTTAGGTTTTTGCTGTAGGGTATAAGGACTCACCAGAGAGACCCAGAGAGGAAAACTGAGAAATCACTCCCTGGGAGGAAGGACTATCATCCCTTCTCTTCCATTCTGCTCTCACGATTTTAGGTATGCACACATACACACACCTGGTATGATTTTCAAATCTTCTTTTTAAATTTCTAAATAAAAAAAATAGACCATTGAATCAGTAAGAATTATGTTCTTTTCTGCAAATGCATTTTTAAATAAAATAGCTGTGAACGTGAACACTAATTTTCCTGTAGCTAATAGATCTAATGAAAAGCAGGTGTCAGACTGAACAGAGCTGAGTACTCAGTACCTCAACCCATTTCTTAAAATATATTTGCGGGACCAGCAGATGGCATAATGGTTATGTCACTGGACTCCCATGTAGTCAACCACAGTTCGAGACCTGGACCTGGTGGCTTCAAACACTCTGGGAGTGTGTGCATATATGTCCAAAAATCCTGAGAGGAAAAGGGCTTGTGGCATGAACATGCCCCCTGGGGGATGATTTCTCACTTTCTATCTTCGCCTCTCTGGCAAGCACACATGCCCTATAGCAAAAATATATCTTAAAAAAAAAAGAAAGAAAATATATTTGCAATAAAAATACTTTGGGGGTCAGCTTTGAATATCTTTAAGCAAATGCTTGTGTGCTATTAGTTTGCTATTATGGTTGAACATTTGGTAGATCAAGGGGAAGGTGCATGATATACAATCTTTTAAAAGAGACAAAACTATATTAAATATGCTCTATAAAAATGTGGGCTTAACAGTCTTAAAGCGACATTTGAAAAAGAATTTGTAGATTGTGGCTGGAAAAAAAAAAAAAACCACAGTGAGACTTGAGGAAATCTGATTCCGTTTCAGGTTGCTGGACAGAGAGATGCTACCCAAAGACTCCAAGACGAATTACTAACAAATGAGCTGGGTTATGTTTTATTCTAGTGTGCTAAAATTGAATTCTGTCTCCACGGAAAATATTAGACTTTTCTGCATTTGCAGAAAAGAACATCATTTTTATTGATTCAATGGTCCATTTCTTTATTTAGAAATTTTTTTAAAAATGATTTGAAAATCATGCCAGGCATGTGTGTGTGTGTGCATACCTAAAATCCTGAGAGCAGAATGGAAGAGAAGGGATGATAGTCCATCCTCCCAGGGAGTGATTTCTCACTTTTCCTCTCTGGGTCTCTCTGGTGAGTCCTTATACCTTATAGCAAAAACCTAAAACAAAACAAAACTGTACTGAAAAGAGTGGGGAAAAGAGGTGGCAAAACGTGTTCTATATCCTATCAAGGCATAAAGAAATAGCCTGATGTGTATAGACCTCAGTGGGCACATACAAGGGAACCTCAAAAAGTTCACGGAAGATGGAATTTTCTTTTGGTGCAAAAAAATTCGGAAATCTCTGCAGTATTTTCATAACACGCATTTTCTATGAACTTTTTGAAGACCCCTTGTTTATGGCTGTCCTAATGCCTGAGAACAGAGGCAATGGCAACCCAGAGGGTTGAGAGCCCTGAAATCCAGACTGTGAGGATGGAGGCAAGAAGACAAGTCCTGGCACCTCACCAGGACACAGAGCACAGTGCCCCCTAGACAGAGGATATCACCATGCTGGAGGTCCAGGCATGATTCTGGGGAGCTGCTGGCCTTCCCCAGGGCAACTTGGGAAACTTCCTCTGCTCCATCACGCACAAGCCTAGAGTCCAGGCCCTCAGAGTGCAGTAGCAGAAAACTCAGGAAAAGTCGAAGCAGAGGCTGACCTGGTCCCATGGCCTAGTGATTAAGAGAGCCAGATCCCACCTAGCTAACCTCATGGTTCAAATCCTGGCCCTGCAGCTTGAAAATCAAGCCTGGTGTGTGCATGCATGCCCAATATTCTGACAATTTGGAGCCATGGAGGATAAAGAACTGCAGTGTGACCACATTCCACTGGGGGTGCTTCCTCCCTCTCCCACTCTCTCTCTCTCTCTGATGAGCCACACATTCCTTTCCCCCACTTGCTGGAGACAGTAAGAGAGAAAGTGAAAAATCATCCCCCAAGGGGGGGATGATCAAGCCACAGTCCCTTCTCCTCCATTCTGATTCTGGGCACGCCCACACATCCCAGCGTGATTTCAAGCCACTGGGTCCAGGATTCAAACCATGGTCGGCTGTGTGGGAGTCCAGTGCCTTAATCGCCATGCCACCTGCTGGCCTCCACACATGCCCTTTTACGTGAGCTTTCGGCAGCATTAAGAAATTAGCCTTTTCTACTCTAAACGTTATTTTTGTCAGCTTCCAAAACACCATTAGCTACAGATTACCTTCGACCTTCACTGGCTTCTGACGTCGGCACTTGGCACGTGGGATCCTTTTCCTCTGCCTGACTCTAAAGCACTGCTAGGACAAACCTGAATCTCAGCCCTGGGCCCACCCCACCAGGCCCCTCAAACTGATCTTCTGTCAATAAAAATGAAGTCATGATCAGCCCTTGCTTAAAACCACCCAATGAAAACCAGCAGTTGGCATAATGGCTATGTCACTGGACTCCCACGTAGTCGACCGCAGTTCGAGTTCCGGACCTGGTGGCTTATCCTCACACCAGGTACGTGTGTGTGCATGCCGAAGTTCCCGAGAGAATGGAGAAGAAGGGATTGAAGCGTGGCCATCCCCCCTGGGGGGTGATTTCTTGCTTTCTGTCTTTCTGTCTCTCTCTGTCTGTCTGGCAAGCGCACATAGCCTATAGCAAAAAGTCTCCAAAATAAATTTAAAAAATAAATAAATAAAAAGAAGAAGGAAAAAATAAAACCACCCAATGTTTTTCTACCTTATATTTTGAATACAATTTTGATCTCCATGTACATTTTCCCAAATCATTTAATGCCATTTTCCATGTGGCTTACACTGTGCTCTGGCCACAGTGGTCTTCAGGTCCATGAAATGCCACGCTCTTTTCTATATCAAGGTCTTTGTTCTCATTCTCCCTAGAATGTCCTTTCTTGTTCCACCCCCACTGTCTACTCTGTATGTAACTTCCTTTAGGTAACAGCTGAAATGTCACTTCCTCAATGAGGTTTCCCTGCCCATCCCACTTACAGGAAGGCTCCCTGTGTTACTTTCTATCTTGAAACACTGTTTTCTCCTGACCCAGGGATGGATGCCTGTGTCCTTTCATTCACATCCATGCTTTCCTTCCTGTAGAACATAGCCTGCCTTCTGGTGGTAGGCCATGAAGTCTAAGCAGTGCTTAGTACAATGGGCTCCATGCATGACATTTGCTAAACCAAGAATGAACAAATGATATGATCTACACAAGAGGCTGTGGTGTGGCCCATGTGCCAAGTATTGACAAGAGTCAGGAGGATGGTGGAGAACCTCGTGTAATATTACAGGCAGGGGATCGTGGCAGTGGAAATGCTTTCTGACTGAAGACTGCATTAGTTTGCACCAGCGCATGGAAAATGTGAAGCACGTTTTTATCAATGAGTGCATATTACAGACACACAAAGGAGGGACCGTATCTTCATCTTTATGATTTGTTCTGAAAATACATTCTTGCCATCTGCCATTTTGTC